ATGTCATTTCCCATGTGCCATTTCGGTCTCAGCTTCAATGTCATTTCCCATGTGCCATTTCGGTCTCAGCTTCAATGTCATTTCCCATGTGCCATTTCGGTTTCAGCTTCTATGTTCTATGTTTCTGAACCCGACAACGATTCTTCAATTGACTGTATAGCCGATTGGCATTCGAATTCCGGCATTTTCGTATATGAATTGTGGATATTCTAGCGACCTATGAGCTACCTATGTGACTTTCATCTTGCAGAAATATGTCGATAAAAACTTCAAAAATAGAAAACCAAATCGTTTTCAGACAAATTCCTTTCTCTAGCCCCTCCCATGAACTCAACGAGTCTTCGATATCCTTACTGATTGCAATTATAAGCTATCAAAAATATCAATTGTGGATACGCGCCAGGCTCTTTTCGATGGATCTTTCTCAACATAACTTGAATGCTAGGCTAGCATGAGTTTATAACAAAAGAAATCCGCATTTTTTCTTGATTGAATTTGTGGAATGTGTGGAATTTTTTCCAAATTTTTTGGTTAAGAAACTTTTTTTTAAAAATTAATGATCTTAAGATATTAAAGTCGGGATTGATCAAATACATCGAATACTCACAATCAGTCTGTAGGAGTGGTTGTTTCTTGTTCCGCTTTGCTTCCTCCGTCGCTTACCAAGCAGTGCAGAACTTCCTTGGTTCTTGTCTTCTGTATCAAACCAACAAAAATGTATCAACCATTTATTAAAGAAACTGTTAAACATGAAACTGTAAAAACAAGAACTCTTAAAATTACAGATCTCTACATACTGAGCTTACCCTTTATAATCAAAGTTAGGATTGATCAAATACATCGAATACTCACAATCAGTCTGTAGGAGTGGAATATTCCTGCTTTCCGCTTTGCTTACTCCGTCGCTTACCAAGCAGCGCAGAACTTCCTTGGTTCTTGTCTTCTGTATCAAACCAACAAAAAAGCATCAACCATTTATTAAAAAACTGTTAAACATGAAACTTGTAGACTAGATTTACTCCGGCATGATATCACTGCACGAATGATTCATCTCTTTACTGATTCCAAATCAAAACCAAGTCAGTCTCAGACAACTTGGAATCTTTCAATTGCTACAAACAAACTTGTTTCTTAATACACTATATCTTCTATATGTACAGACATGGTTAATTAGTTGATTGAAAGCTAAACAGGTTTTTTTGGTACAAGAGGAAAGTATGATTCTATCCTACGAAACGAAAGTGAAACGAAATGACGCAAAACAACTAAACAATCGAAATACGAAGCCTAGATTTATAAAACTAGAAACAACTTTTCAAACCCTCTGAAACCTTACCTTCGGTTAGCTTTTAATTGAAGAGAGGAACGTATTTCTTTATATTGACTTGTTTAAAGTTTACCTAATTTCTCCGACGTCTTGATCGGTTGGTAGATAGATGAGTCTGGATGGTTCAAGGCTGTGCCTTGCCCTTTAGGTTACACCCAGGTCATTATTCAACCAATAGAATCGTTGTATCGAACTATCAATGACGTTTAATGGTCTTAGCCAATCAAAACTGGCAACTGGCCCCCACTGTGCTGTTTCTCGTTTTTCCTGTTTTCGGTGACCGGAAAAAATCCTAGCGATCCGCGTGAACGCAACTGCGAACCTCTGGGTTCAAACCCTTCGCTTTGTTAAGAATATCTACTCCAATATGCTGTCGTACTGTAGCGTTATTAATGTCTTAAATACAATTAAGTACGCGTATAGTGTTAGGATGATTCAAGCATGGCTCGCATGCAAATGCGTAAAGTAAAACACACAAAACAATACGCTCTATTCACCATTTCCCATACATTGGTTCACTGATCAAACACAAAGCGCTCAAGCGAGGCGCCAAGGTGCTTTCAAAGGATTATTCAAATTTGAACCTTGCAAACTCGACTGAATGCTTTATGTTTGACCAGTGAACCGATGTATGGAAAATGGTGAATAGCGTTACGCGCGTTTGATGTTGACCTAGACTTGTGTGACGAAATCCTAAACAAATAAAACTCCAATATAAAATAACTGTTATGAATGTCGCGTTTTGATTGGTTTAGAGCGCGTGCTTTATGAGAGCACATTGCACGCGCGCGCACTTTCCGTTGCGTCATTCCTCTCTATTATCAAAATTTGTATTTTATAAAAGAAATATAAAACTTGCTTGCTGTGATATGTGCAGTCACAAAGCACTTGGGGATTTGCAGAACACTCGAAAATTGTCCAGAAGCCGACTCCGCTACGCGTCGTGCTTCTCCAAACACTTCTCTCGTGTTCTGCCAACCCCCGCGTGCTATATGACAGCACACAGCACGCGCGCGCGTTTTCTATTTCTTCAATAGAATATTATCTAATGAGTCCACAAAAACGCCAAACTTAGGTTCAGGGTAATACAGTAATTATAGGTAGGTATATTCAATCATAGAATACCAAAACATATGCACAACTTAATGACCATGTTCTATACTAAATACACTCAACAAAATTACTCGACTCTGATTGGTCGAGAGGAGTGCAATCATAGCGTTCATTGTACTTCGTAGGAGTACCGAATTAAGGCGCTATGGCAACACGGCCAAAACAATGTCAAAMCAATTATTTTCTATCATTTTGTACTTAAAAAACATATAGATAAAAATTTAAAGCCGTAAGAACGCATCTTTTTATGCATTTCAGTTGCGCGATGGACTGAAAATCGGCCGCCAAATAGACAAAGATGCACGGCGTCGCTTCGCAATATTTACTGAAATTTTGTTGAGTGAACTATAAGCAAAAAATCGCACGATCTTCTCGTACAATTTGGAATTAATAGACTCATATGTTTTGAAAGTTCTTTAATTGCACTCGCCTTTCAAATTGTACTCGAGATCGTGCGATTTCCTATACACAAATTGTGAAAATTCGGAAAAAGACGATTTTATTTCGCGAAAAGTAAAGCAAAGGATAAAGTCCTGTGTTTAGGGTGTATTGTTTTTAAAGTTTTCTAKGGGAAAACCCTTTAAAAGCAAGTCCAAGGTCAAAGGCCACGAAAAAAAGTTGCGATAACAAACAGGAAGCGGCTTTGGATTTGGTGAAAAAATTACCGTAAGAATTTCTTTTTCGGACCCATCGAAAATCAAAATATGCTTAAAGACTCCATGGGTACCAATATTTGATAGAAAAAAGGTAAAAAGTTACGTCTAAGTGGTTGTACTAACCTGTTTTTGTCGCCTTCCGGTGCGACGGCGGCCATCTTGATGTTTGTTTACATAGCGCGCGTTTGCCATCCAAGAAGTCACGTGATTTCTTAGTGCAAGTCGCCTATTGCTCCCATTCTCAAACAAAGCCTCATTTGAAAATAAAAAAAATAGAGAAGATATAAAACAGATAGACCTTCACAGCTTTAGTAGTTGAGGTATTTACTTGCAATGTGGTTGGTTGTGTAAGTCAGTAAACTGTTGGGAAGAGAGCAATAATCCAGTAGAAATTCTTGGTTGATGAAGAACAAAGAACAAAACCAACTTTGAAAAACTTCCAACCAAC